TTTTATTTGTCACATACATGGTTATATAGGGAATATATGACCAGCAGTGAAATGTAAGTAAGAGAGCAAAAGAAAGTATAAAAGTAAATAAAAGCACAATCTAAGTGGAGCGACCTGGACGGCGTCCGAACTCAGCAGCGCCATCTTGCAGAATGCAACATTATGAATTTCTTCACAGTCATTTTTGTTTAATTTTTTAATGCCTCCTTGCTAAACAGTTTTTTTCTTGTTGTTTTCTTTGTTTGTTTGTTTTTTAAAAGAAAAGAAAAATAAATTCTTACTGACCCCAAACTTTTGAACATACAAATAGAAAAGGTTTTGCGTTAGGGTTAATATTTATAATTACTTTATTATTTATCATTTAAAGTTGCTAGCCATTTTGGTCCGTGTACGTTGCGTTCATTCATTTTTTGATTTAAAATTGAAAACAGAAACATGAGAAAACGGCACCATTTGAGTTTTTCGTTTTTTAAAAAAAACGGAAAAAAAACAACAAGAAATCGCCTTGATTTTCCATTTTTACATTCAGGGGTAGAAAATGGATAAACCGTTTGAATGTTCAATATCACGTGTGGGAGGGAATGAAACACCCCTTTTCACTGATTAGTCAAGCAAACATCAAACAGTGCCATCATCATGTCGTCTTCAGTTTTGTGCAACAGAATAAGAGTCCTCCGCTGTTAAAGCGTTTATTGCAACTCCTGCATTCATCTCCCTCTCATCAAACAACCAGACTAACAAATGGCTTGACACAAACCATACTGGGGCAACGCCTAGACAGGGCTTACTTCTGTGTAGGCATAGATTCTATATGGCAAATATTAGGTGCTTATTGCAGAAATATGTATGTACCTCAGATCTGCAGCCACATTACCCTTTAGTCTATTTATTTTATAGCAATATGTGCAATTGCATAGACCTGAACAACCATCAATCACTTAATTAACCCTCGCCTTGAGTTTCTCAATGAGGTTAAAATTTATATTAAATGCACCAGTTCAGCTAGAATCTGGAGGTTCTTGCGTTGCCTGTGTAGGGGGGTTCCCTTTGCTGCAGAAAAGGGGGTTTCCCAAGGTTGCTGATTGGCTGGAAGTTCAGTAGTCGATGAAGTTACGTCTTGGGAAGCCAGTGGTTGGGTGTTGGCTGAAGATGCGGAGTTGTGGGCTGGTTGAAGTTTACTTTGCGTTCATTCATTTTTTGATTTAAAATTGAAAACAGAAACATGAGAAAACGGCACCATTTGAGTTTTTCGTTTTTTAAAAAAAACGGAAAAAAAACAACAAGAAATCGCCTTGATTTTCCATTTTTACATTCAGGGGTAGAAAATGGATAAACCGTTTGAATGTTCAATATCACGTGTGGGAGGGAATGAAACACCCCTTTTCACTGATTAGTCAAGCAAACATCAAACAGTGCCATCATCATGTCGTCTTCAGTTTTGTGCAACAGAATAAGAGTCCTCCGCTGTTAAAGCGTTTATTGCAACTCCTGCATTCATCTCCCTCTCATCAAACAACCAGACTAACAAATGGCTTGACACAAACCATACTGGGGCAACGCCTAGACAGGGCTTACTTCTGTGTAGGCATAGATTCTATATGGCAAATATTAGGTGCTTATTGCAGAAATATGTATGTACCTCAGATCTGCAGCCACATTACCCTTTAGTCTATTTCTTTGGCACACCACACATTTTATTTAGCTGTCCAGTTATTAAAATCTGTGTGGCAAAGCTGCGTGACATGAACACGAAACTCTCAACGGAAAAGAAAATAAATTAAAGTAGAAGAATAGAAGTAACGAGACTAGATGGGTTTTCTCCTCATGGTTTTAGAGGAGCTGCTGGTGTGTAATCCAGAGCACGCTCAAAGAGTGCTAAAAAGCAGTGGCAAAACGCGGTGGCAAAAAGGCTAGAAGCATAATTTGATGGTGTCCTGAATATTTAAACTGGGATTTTGGACACATCCCAAATCTTGTCTTGATCAATTAGACAATGTCTTAGCTCGGGGTGTTGTATGTTTCTCCTCCCAATTCTTACTGACCCCAAACTTTTGAACATACAAATAGAAAAGGTTTTGCGTTAGGGTTAATATTTATAATTACTTTATTATTTATCATTTAAAGTTGCTAGCCATTTTGGTCCGTGTACGTTGCGTTCATTCATTTTTTGATTTAAAATTGAAAACAGAAACATGAGAAAACGGCACCATTTGAGTTTTTCGTTTTTTAAAAAAAACGGAAAAAAAACAACAAGAAATCGCCTTGATTTTCCATTTTTACATTCAGGGGTAGAAAATGGATAAACCGTTTGAATGTTCAATATCACGTGTGGGAGGGAATGAAACACCCCTTTTCACTGATTAGTCAAGCAAACATCAAACAGTGCCATCATCATGTCGTCTTCAGTTTTGTGCAACAGAATAAGAGTCCTCCGCTGTTAAAGCGTTTATTGCAACTCCTGCGTTCATCTCCCTCTCATCAAACAACCAGACTAACAAATGGCTTGACACAAACCATACTGGGGCAACGCCTAGACAGGGCTTACTTCTGTGTAGGCATAGATTCTATATGGCAAATATTAGGTGCTTATTGCAGAAATATGTATGTACCTCAGATCTGCAGCCACATTACCCTTTAGTCTATTTCTTTGGCACACCACACATTTTATTTAGCTGTCCAGTTATTAAAATCTGTGTGGCAAAGCTGCGTGACATTTACATTATAGTGAAGCGCAGACCAGTATCGGTTTTAGTGTGAATATAAAGCTATCTTACCGTTTTGATTATTATTTCGAGTTTTTTTTTTTCATAGAGAAGTTTATATGATACTGTCATTATCCAACAGCATGTTACACGTGTATATAATACATGCTATTTTTTTATAAAAGGGTGTAAGGGAAACAGGTCAATTTAACTCAAAGGGAATCATTTAAGATTTTATAGGGAATTTGGACAGAATCATGGTTTTGCGGCTGATCACTGAGTCGGCCAGCGATTCATTGAACGAGCCGTTATGAAAAAGACATACACAATACACAAAGTGATTAGAACATGATAGTCAAATGTGTGGGTTACATACATGATATGGAGATAAGTAATGGACTGATATTCGTTTATAAGTCTTTTTGAGTTCATTTTGATGCATCTACATCTGTAAAAGACAGTTTCTGTGTCATTCTGTGAGGATAAGGACATGTTCTGTGAAGACCAGAGGTTAAAAGGTCTCATGCTGTGTCACCTTTCATGATGGTCATGCTGTGCATCTCTTTGACCATCAATCTTGATTACTTGCCCCAAATCTGACAATCTCCTTCCTGAGTTGTTCTTTTGTGTTAAAGAGTTGGTTGGTTAGGCTTGCTTCAGACTGGCTGGCGCTAGGATCTGATTTATAAACATCCTGTTGTCTTGGGCCTTTCTGTAGAATTCAGCTCCTCGTGTTTCAACCATGTTCTTGATCGAATCTTAAATTGTCGTATTCACTCTGATACCCTGCAAGGGCATTTTTCTAACTTTATAAAATATGTCTGTCACCTTTAATATTAAATTCTTGAATTTAGTCAATATTTGAAAATTACTAATTACATCAGTACCAACCAAAGCCATCTTTGCACTGTGGCACAGAAGATGCATCTTAAGTTGAATTTAGATGTATTTACACAATTAATGCTGCTGAGACGGCAGTAAATGCATTAACACATCAATTGCATAATGGAATGAGATTAATGTTTTAAACAAAAACATTCTGAATAGCCTACAGAAATATGAAATGAGTGACAAAATGAAACAATTGGATACTTGAATTATGAAGGTTACATCGCCAGTAGGTGGCGGCAAGTCATTGTGTTGATGAATGAGTCATTGAGTCATCAATTCAACCGATTCGTTCAAAATGCTGATTTATTCAGGAGCAAAGCAAATGGGTCATTGAACCACTCACACAAACGATTCATTCATAGACTCGGATTCATTCAAGAATGAAATGCCTGTGTTTTAAGTCAAATAAAACACACTGTTTTGTGTCTAATATGAAATCAATTCATACTCATTATTAATGAAACTGTACTGTCTAAAATAAAAGTCATGACTTCTGCGTATTCACACTAAAATCAATACCTGTCTACGCTTCACTATAATGTAAATGCATTCGCCCCGTGTTGTCCAGTGCGTCACGCAGCTTTGCCACACAGATTTTGATAACTGGACAGCTAAATAAAATGTGCAGTGCGCCAAAAGAAATAGACTAAAAGGGTAATGTGGCTGCAGATCCGAGGTACATACATATTTCTGCAATAAGCACCTAATACTTGCCATAGAGAAACTATGCCTACACAGAAGTAAACCCTGTCCATTTGTTAGTCTGGTTGTTTGATGAGAGAAAGACGAAATGCAGGAGTTACAATAAACACCTTAACAGCAGAGGACTCTTATTCTGTTGCACAGAACTGAAGACGACATGATGGCACTGCAAAAATGATGGTTTCATTTTTGCTTGACCAATCAGTGAAAAGGGGCATTTAATTCCCTCCCACACATGGAAATCGAACATTCAAGCTGTTTATCCATTTTCTACCCCTGAATGTAAAAACGAAAAATTAAGGCGAATTCTTGTCTTTTCATGTTTTTGAAAAAAAAAAAAAAAATGAAAATGGTGCCGTTTTCTCATGTTTCTGTTTTCAATATTAAATCAAAAAACGAATGAACTCGGATCCATTTTGCACAACAGTTTTTTTTTTCTAACATAATGCTGAAACATATCTAAAAGGCAGACTGGAACATTGAATCTGTAGAAGATGTCCCCAGTGTGAAGTCTTGGATATCACTTAGTCATAATTCTCACTCAGAGCACTTTAGTTTGACCTGTTACATGAGTTTCAAGAAAGCAAACATAATTTCCTTTAATGGAGTGTATTTTAAAATGAGGCCTTTTGCTCTTACAATATCAGCCTGTCTTAATATGAAGCTCTTAATATTGGATCTAACACTGCTTTTTTCTCTTCACAGGTGAACGAGATTTATCATGACCATTCTCTCGGGGCACTTATAAATGTGGTGCTAGTTCGGATTGTTTTGGTCGATGCCAGAAAAGTAAGAATTATTAATCTATTGACATCATGCATCAAATATCAGATGACAAGTTAAAATCAGCATGAAATTAAAATGAGCCATATGTGCTATTTTATTGCATGTATGATCATTATGTGTATAATTCATCAGTGCATCTTTAAAAAATTTGCTCTGCCTATGAAACAACTTTTCTTTTTCGACTGACATCATAAATCCCTCTTTAATTTTTTTAAGTCCTGTCCTTTCATTTTTTTTTCTTGTTAAATATCTTATATTGCTCAGAAATAAGTCAGTTTAAGTCAGCATATTTGCTGCGAACAGCCTTTCATGTTGACTATAATCTAGTCATATATCTAATTATATTGTTGGCGAGCTTGAGTGTTTCATGTTGTATAGTTTGTAATGGTTTATGGTCATATTTTGAGTCACCCCAAATGTAAAGTGTCATTTATTTTGTTACTTCAGAGACAAATATTATTAAACGATTTGTAGGCCAACATCCAAAAAAAGTTGTAAACACTGTGGTTTTGTGAGTTCCACACATTAAGTTGTGGCTCAACCAGTGGTTTGAGTTTAGGACAGGGTTATCTGTTTTTTTGTTGTTTTTGATCAATGGAAGATAGATGGAGTGATTGGAAAACTTGTTTGGTGCTGCTAGTAGTGCTTAATTATACACTTCTTAGTTCGGGTTTCATCTGAAACTTCATGTTCAGTCTTTAGTTTTCACTGTGAAAGAGCACTGTTGTAACCTAAAAATTGTTTTTGTTTTGTTTGTTATCTTTACACAAATCCCCAAATGGTCCACTTCGCTGTCTGTAGCCGTTTAGCACTTTGCAGTTCTGTATCATGACATATTGCATCTGCGGCAAACATGTATAAAACACATTCCGTTTCTCTCTCTTCCACTCTCTGTCTCACACTCACACCTACATAAACACGTAAAGACACCGCTAGCTTAGCTTACATGCGCATCTTTTTCCCACCCCCTTCTACTGGGTGCTCACCATGGCCTAGGGCCTGTTATTTCATCGGACTGAGCAAACGGGAACTAAAAGCATTGAGTTCCCATGGGAGTCTTTTCAAAGTCGCACGCCTTCACAGTTCAACACCAAAGCACACAGAGTGCTGATGTTATGCAATTGCCTTTCCAATACCCCCCTCCCCAACACATAAGCTCGCACACACCAGCACCTCCCCTATGGGACCAAGCAAAGGATTCTGGGAAGAAGAATCAAGAATGCAAGATAAACAATCAATGATGACCCTGCCTCATTCATAAACACAGCTCCATAAAATGCTGCTCTTCCTGTAACTGGAGATCAGGGAGAGGCTGATCTCAGATCAGGTAACCAGACTCTGATGTGGTTGACCTGATAGTGACCACAGTTCTTGGTTCGGCTTTTATCTGACACAGTTACTCACTAAGAAAATCCCACATCTCTTCAACATCTCACCTGGACAGAAATGAGGATAAATTAATAGCAGTAGTGTACATTACATGCATTAGTGGTGAATAATTTTCACTTAAACTTTTTGTGGGTTACATTTATGCCAGTAGGTGGTCGCAAGCAGAGCCGTCCCAAGGCATAAGCGAACTAAGCTTTTCGGAGTATCTATTTACACTAAGTGCAAATAGCCCGCCTTGTTGGCAGAGGCTATTTACATTAATGCCGCCCACCAACGTGTGATTCAGCTAGTGAACATTACAAAAGACAGTCAACTGTCATCAGTTCCAGTGGCGCAGATGGTAAAGTGTGTGTTGTACTCATTTTGACACGATCGACCCGGGTTCGAATCCACCTTTTGGCGAACTTTTTTCTCCCTTTTCGAATTTCAAATCACATCAGAAAAGCTTTTATTTTCCATGAAAATGAAGAAAATAATCAAAAAGTTGAAAATAAAGTATCGGGTAGGGTTAGGGTAGGTGTAGGGAGGGCTTTATTGTCCCAATAAGGTGACATCCATTTAATAATTAAAATTAAAATTAAAATGTACACTCAATAAGTTATTATTGCATACTGTTTTATAATGTACTATAATACTGAGGTGCTGATAATTGCCACTATTTGCAATAAGTAGTATAAATAGCAGAAAAACCTGCTATTTTAACATAGTGTAAATAAAATTTTAGATTAAAGTTTTTGTCTTCTGTGTAAAAATAACTTTCCTGGGTTTATATTTTTTGTAATAAAACAATTATGTTTCATAAACTTGGTACCAGTGTTGGGGAAAGTTACTTTTAAAAGTAATGCATTACAATATTGCGTTACTCCATAAAAAAGTAACTAATTACGTTACTTAGTTACTTAGTTACTTTTTATGGAAAGTAATGCGTTACGTTACTTTTGCGTTAATTTTTAAATCTGGACAGGGCTTGCTTGTTTGTTTTTAAAATAAAAAAGTTCTATTTTTGGCAAATATAAAAGCCTTTTCACACCAAAAGTGAAATGAATAAGCCTCAGGCTGAAGGGAAAGTAAATTTACGTCCGTACAGTAGAATGCAGAAGAAGACATTTCAACACACTTCAGCAATAAAAAAAAGACACAAATGTTTGTCTAGAGTAATTTTTGCTTGTTAGTATGGTTGAACTGGATCATCGAAGGTCAGAAGCAAAGACATTGGTTAATAGAATGGGATTAAATACATAAAGGATATTTGTGTTGTTTAACATTTAATTATTGCAGGTTTGC